GACGACAATGTTCCCCTCAAATGCCAAATGTTGGTCTCTTGCCCTCGCTCCTCTTCCTCTCACTTACTCATCCTTCTCTTGATCTCCGTCAATATCGGTATTTTCTGTTTGTGTCTCCCGCCTGCTGACATCCACCTCATATGCACTTGTCCTGGCCTTTCATTTCTTCAACACTCCACCTTCTACCCTGACATACTTCTCTGATATTACTCATCAGTTCCTCTCTCCAGCTCCTCCCCCGTCTGAGGACATGACGGTGCATGCGCCAGCTGCCCCCGCAGTCTGACACAAGTTGCCAGCTCCAGTGCCGACACGGGTGCCCTGTGACACCGGAAGGAGGGGCTGGATGGCGTGAGAGAAGGAGGCGGGGGAGGGGAGGAGGGGGGTTGCATAAGGCACTGCAAACATCAGGCTGACCGGAGAGTGAGCCCCAATGGCCATTGAGTCACGTGACGCGCTGCGGCCCACATGGCAAAACACGCGCAGAGGCGGGACGTGTGTGTGTGTTGTGTATGGATGACATCCCATAAAGCCTACGGCGGCAGATGAGTGCAGTGGAGAGAGGGCTTGTGATGGCAGCGGCTCTTTTGTTGGTCGGACAGAAGAGAAAAGAAAGCCGCTCGTTGTTGCAACACATGCCTGCGTCGGTTTATTCATCAGCTTTAAGTGTGTTTTTCTTTCAAATATAGAGTCCATTATGCACCGATATTCTTTCTTCTGTAGCGTTTGAAGCACCCTGGCCAGACGTTACTCAGCGTCAGACAGAAATACTGACGCACTCGGATCTGAGCAATGGGCCAAACACGACTGAATCATTCCCTCATTATCTGGGGGATATTGGATCTAAAGGAAGAGGTGGAGGGGGCAGGAAAGAATAAATATGCTGTAGGAGAGCAAGAAAGAGCTAGAGAGACAAAAGGATGATGCATAGGGACTGCTTGTCGATGAAAGAGTTGGGCTTTATTGTGAATGAATAGAAGGATGAAACAGCCGGTCGTGAGCAGTTTGCTTAGTCCTGGCATCATGCCTGCTTAATGGAGCAACGGATGATGAACAGTTGAGGATCGCACAATACTACCACTACCCGATACCACATGGTGAATCACCTGGAAGGTTCTGTCCACCAAACACTCCCTCTCAAGGGCCAGCTCATGTTGAGTCACGCTTCTTGGGATAATAATGGAAACAAATGGAGGATACCAATGCCTCTGCAATGTGGCCTTTGATGAAATATGAATGCATTGATGTATTAGCCTCCTTAAAGCTGCACTTATAAATATTTCAACATGAGACATTTTTCAAAAGAATACTGTACTGTTGGATGAGGAAAGGGTTGTTACGATCAGACAGAGATTTTTTAACACCCTTTTTTTAACCATGTATGAAACCTCATGCTAGTTGCTTTTGCATTGCTGAGACTCTTCAGTTTTAGCTGGATGGCCCTGAACACCTCCAGTTGTAAAAAAAATAAACTCAGAGTGGAAAAGAACCCAACGTCATTGCCGTTTTTCCCCCTAGTCCGATCAGATGAACTTAAATGTGGGCTGTCTGTGGGCTGTTGTTAGATACCCTGAACTACTTTACTAACTGTAGTTACCATGGTCTGCAGGAACATAATGCACAAGGCAAAAGGGCTTGAGATTTTGGCTAACCCTAACCCTTGCTTTCATGAATTCAAAGCATTATCTATTGGTTAGCGTACAGTTAGTGATGGTCTTACATTAGCACTCATTTGGTGGTCGTCCTGGCTGATCTAAGTCGGACAACAACAAAAAAAAGGCATTGTACGAAACAAGGAAAGCGTCACTCATGGTATGTTTTGCATTCTGCTAACATGCTCTCTCTAAAAGGGGCCTGACTTTATTAAACTGAGCATCAAAAACCCTGTGTGCAGCTTTCAACTAATTGTTTTTGTTTGCTGTAAATTTGCCATTGTGTCGCAAAGCTCTTATCAACCTTATTTCCAGATGTATGGACAACTATTGTTGGACAAAAAACCTTTTGTTAGGGACAAGCAAAGTTAGCTACTAGATTATAAACTTGTAGCAGCTGACAAACCAGAAGTAGGAGGAGACCAAAACCAGAGCCAAAAGGGGAGTGATATTGGATACCCATTGGTAAGCCAGAAAGATGACAAGAAATAACAACATGAGGTAAATAATTGTGAAGCAATACAAGCATACAACAATACAGGCTGGATAGCTGTAGCTATTATGCCCCGACTATCTGGAACAAAACCTGCAGGTCCGCTGCAACTCTTACTACCGGTACTTTCAAATTCAGACTGAAAACTCATATTTTCTCCGCTGCTTTTGATTGAGCTGCAGTATGGCTTGTATTCATGTATTCTATACCTGTTGTGTTTATTTTATTATCTTTGCTTTTTAATGCCTGTTTTTAAATGCCATTTTATAATGTGTTTTTGCTGTATTTCTTTGTAAATGTCTTTTAATTTATTTTTGTAAAGCACTTTGAATTGCCGTGTGCTGAAAGGTGCTATATAAATAAACTTGCCTTGCCTTGCCTAACAGGAAGTGTGTACAAAAGCTGTACAATACATAGGATATTTTCTCCTTATAATTCAATTGGAAGTGCCATTGGTGGATGGGTGAGGAGGCTCAGGCAGGGATTGGTTCTTGTGGAATTTACCGCATCACTATGTGCATACAAATTCAGAAGATTAACTACTTTCTTCCCCCTGCTACTTGGTATGGACTACGCCACCAGTTAGAGAGTCAAAAACAAACAAGTAGGCCTGGCAAATACAGTATGTGTACAGTTCTTATAACTCTGTGTTCACACATTCATATTTAATCATTACTCTGATGCAACTACTAGCTCCAGCGAAAAGCTTCAATAATTCTGTTGCAGTCGAGAACTGAGTACCAACACATCTTTTCACATTGCAAAAAAAAAACATGAATAGCTTGAAATAAATGAACAATACGGACATGTTAATGGGACTCTTTGTGCTTGTGGTGTGTTTACTGGCAACCACAGACTGAAAGAAAACATAGACTAAGAAACACTAAGATGTTAATGATGACAGGTACATTTGAAAGAACTCAAAGTTCAGGTTGTGCATATCTATTTATTCATACAGCCGCAAGCAACAGTAAAGGCATGGCTGGGTCGGTGCTTCTAATGTATGCACTGTATTTGTGTCTGTGAGAGAAAGTGTCAGAGCAGTTTGAGCGTGGTCTAGAGATGCATTAGCCAATCTGGTAATGACTGGGGGAACAGCAGCATGAGTGGTAACATAAAACAATGCAGACAAGGTGACTTTCTCTAACAGGCTTGCTTGTGTGCTTCTGTGTGTGCGTACCCTCAGAGCAAGAGAAAGTAAGAGAGTGTATATAGTGGTCCGATGGAAATGAAATGCATGTTTGAAGGTGCTCATCTGAGCATGGCGGCACATCAAAAGACTTACTGGCTTTTGACAAAATTGAGAAGGTTGTGATGGAAAGAGAAAAACAGCCAGAGGGATGACGAAAGGCAGGTTTGAGATGTAGTAGGCATATTGTTATTGTTGAGATACCTCAGATACCAATGTCTGTGATTGCCTGGGTTGAAATCATCAGGTTATACAAAATTATTTGGATGGTGAAATTGAATTTAAACGTATTCATAGTGTTAGAAATGGAAATTAGTAGAATGGCAGAATTGGACACAATTTCCTTAAATCCATAATAAAGGTTTATGTTGTGTTAGTTTTTTTTGTTGCCGAACCACTACTGAAAAATGTAACTAGCAATCATTGCATTAATGTGTCTTTGTGTCCAGACAGCAAGAAACATGGACAATACTATTTGACATTAAAGAACTAATAAAACATGCTTTAAAAAGTTTACTGGTATTGGGGACATAGTTTATAGTTGTGGTCATTACTGTGGATCGTTAGAGTTTTTAACACGGAAGTTACTTATTAATGAGATTGTTTTTGTCGAATGAAATACAAGTAATGAATTGGTTGATATCTGAGCAAAGCTAGACACATCTATCAGTTCCTTCACAGGATCAAACACGCACAATCAATTAGTGTCCACAGAGTTAGATTTCAACATTTGATATGATCCGTCTGATATTTTCTGGCAGTGTTCCAATCATCTAAGGCACATTAGTCCTGTAATAACAACAGAACTGACCTTCCTTTTAACACTGTAACACAGCTTTCAAGATAAAACTGAGGACCACAATACTCTCCAAAATGATTTTAAAACACCAAGGTAGAATCCCTTACGGTGACAACATGATGTGTTCTTTCCTCTTTTCCATACTGCAGCTACTACACTAAGACATACACTTGCCCCCAGTTTGGGAAAAACCTAATGCCATTTCTGAGCCTGCTGATAAACTGCAGGAATACATGTTACAAGCTGTTTTTCAGCACCAAAGGGCCATCAGTTCTCCCGTTATTATCCTTACTTGCTGCAGAATAAGTAATGGCGAGCAAAATAGTAAATAACGGGGTACTTAATACTTTTTCTGGCTCTACTGACAAGCTCGAAGGGCCAGCGAATGCAATATAAATGTCCCGAAACAACAACGCTTATTCCTATTTCATCATAAGCAAATATTTCTTCCAGAATGCGGCCCATTGGGAGGCGTTTCAGCGGCACACTCAAGCCTTATGCTGCAAATTACATGTGACAGAAGCAATTTTGGGATATTTTCTTCACACACAAAGTGCAGTAAGTGTTATGAATTAGATTAAGCGGGGGAATATTGAAAGTCGGATACTTCCGCTGCCAACTCAGCAGCTTTAATTGATAATGCAATTTTATTTTACTCTCAATTGCCTTCTTTTTCAGGAAAAGTGTGCTGATCATTTTTTTTATGCCGTATCACAAACAGCTGCACTTGCTGAGTGAATACTAGGAGAATGTATGTGGGTGGTTTTACATGTATGCATGACAACAGTTTGAAAAATGCAGGTATAATAATGCAATGCGAAAACCCACATGGTATACTAGTCATGTAATGAAACGTGTCTCTCCTACCTCTTTGAGGCAGCCCATGAAGTTGTTGCTAACAGGAGATCCGGGCAGATCCGCAGTGCTGGGGCTCCCCCCCACGTAGAAGAAATCATCGGAGCCCAGCATGGTGTAGTCTTCCTGGGTGTAGCCAGTGGTTGTGAGGATGCCATCCACGGAGATAGTCACCTGTTGAGGGGCAACACATAGCCAAAGCCATGCCATTACACTCTGGTATTCGATCTTGTGATGTGTATCAAACAAACCACCTTCCTTGGTCTGCATTCAAAATAGTTTCTTTAGGTCCCACACTGTTGGTTGCTTTCTCATTGAACTTTTTTTTGTTTTTTTACGGAATCCTTTGGTACCTTTCAGCGATTGTTTTGGACCAGACAGTGTTTGGATTTTGTTAATGGATTTTTTGCCATAGGATTCACAGGACAGGTAAAGAAAATATGGCCCAGGCATATTTTCTTTATCTTTGATGGGGGTAAGAGAATGGATTGTAGGTTTGGTTCGGAAACTTTAGGTTGGAGGGAGGGTTAGTACAATGTTCAAACCAAGGACAAATTGACTACACTTGTCTTAGGTTTCGGGGTTTATCTGCTAAATGCAGACACACATGTATACTGTACACACATAGGTGGGCACACACTCATACGTACACACTTTCACTCTCACACCATCCGTCTCACTTTCGCCAATCTCTCGCTGACATCTACATCTATATATCCACGCACATGCAAACGAAGGGGGGCTTTTCACACCATCAATGTGCAAACCAAGGTCATCACCGTTAGAAGGCAAATTAACCACATTTAATTGGACATGTAAGGGAGTAAGTGGATCAATGGTGCCAGGCAAAGCTGGGGGGAGGCCACACAGACTCCGAGACTCATGCACAATCAAGACCAGAGCCCATATTCAAACACACTCTCAGAACAGCTGATCTGGGATCAGGTTTAGCTCAGGTGTCATGGCTGTGTTTTCAATGTCACAGGAGCAGACCGATAATCCTAGATCAGTATGCTTATTCTTAGAAATGTTATGAGTATGGGCCCAGGGGTAACGGGGGATCAAGGTTAGCTACAACACAACAACACCACTTTCACTAGCATGCTACAAAACACACACAGGGGATGTGGGGGGGGTTGAGTGACAGGTGGAAGGTGAGTGAATTAGAGTGTTAGTGGTTATTTGGATGACAGGGTTGAGGTTAAATGAATTTGGGAGGTGAAGGGTAAATGAATTGTGGGCATGCCATGCACCATAGTGAGTTGGAAACAACTGTCAGAGCTCCCGCAATGAAGGTAAAGGGTTGCCATTTTTTGGTCTCTTTTAGGGCTCGGTGTCGAGGTCCCATCATTGGGATTGTGGCAAGCTTCTGTCAGTTCTGGACGACAGTCCTCACAAAAAATGGGGACTTTTTGTGCAAAAAGAATTTGATAAAAAGTTAGTCGCCTTGACTAAGGCAAAGAAATTCAATTTTGTTTTACTTGTTGGAAATCTGCAGTAATGTGGAAGAAACAGAGAAAAAAAAGTAAAAGCCAAAGTGAAAAAAAACATAATGGGGGATTGTGGGGTAAAGAAGAAGGCTGTTGGCAGGTCAGGGAGGAAATTGAGAAGAAGCGAAGAAAGAATTGCCTGGTAATACAAACCCATCTCCTCATTTTTTGATAAGAGTGTCTAGGATGAAACTCAAAGAGAACGAATAAAAGAAGAGAGGGGGAGGGGACACACGGCAAACCCAAAAAAAAGACAATAAGAATGATATCTACCAGACAATGTAGTTTGTTTACCATAGCGTGTCCAATGCCTGATTGCTTTCCAGAAAAAGGGGAAGAAAGGAAATCAAAAGAATAGTGAACAAAAAAGGTTGTTAATAAGGATGGACAGAAAACTAAAACCAAAAGCAATGATGAAGAATTAGGATGTTAGTTAGTACATTAGTTGGTTAGATATTTGTTAGTAGTAAAAAAATGACTTTTATCATGGATGAGTTAGTGTTACGGTGAAAAAACACTACATGGCTTGTCAGAGATTTGCTGTAATAAAGTGCCAGCTTGCCATCCTAGCCACATTTTCTACACCAGAGTCCTGCGAAAAGAAAATGTAGAGGGGTTCTGAAAGATATGAAGGTAAAAATGTGTGTAGGATGGCTTAAACTCCGACAAAACTTGTAGTGTTTTATTCACCCTTAGTCTAACAAAGATAGAGAGAGAAAGACAGATCGGTAGAGGGAAAGAGAGAGAAAGCAGCCCATTGCTTCTTAGCTTCTAAAAAGTGTGTGTTATCCTGTTGGAATGTTCAGCTACCTATTTACTAACCTGAGAGGCAAAAGCCTACTGTCAGGGAGGGTCAGGAAAATCGGCACTTACTTGTTGTGCTGCTCTGAGAGCAACGCTAAATGTTGTCTCACCTTGCAAACAAACTAAAGGTCGGAACCGAGACACGTCCAGACCTCCATACAGCCCTGGCTCTCATTATCCTCTCTTTCTACTTTCTAGCTCTGATTTCTTCACCCGACTGCAGTACAAGCTCATTTTAAATCACATTCAGTAAACAATATATGTCAAGTAACAGATTATGTTCATGTACGACAGATGTACATCTTTGCTGGAAATGTATTTCCATCTTTAAAAAGCTTAATCTGAGCTATAAATACTTCATTAATGGACGGCTCAAAGGCAAACACTCTCTGAAGGCTTTAAAGTGAGAGTCTATATTCTCTACAAGCATAAGAACAGTTTCTGAAAGCAGAAAAGATAGCGACAGCGCCTGATGGAAGTGTCGGCTTAAGGGAGAGTGAAGCAAAATAGAATCATCCGATATCTTTAATTATAGGACAGAGGGAACTCACGTTCAATAAGCCGATGAACAGGAGAGGAGAAAACACCTAGAATAATGGAACCTCGACTAAGCTATTAATCACATGCGGAACAACTGCCCTGTTTTCAAACTGTTCATTTGTGGAAAAGAAGTTGATCAATGGAATTAAATTAAATAGAATGTAATTGTAAAAACCAAAAGTATAATGACACATCTATCTCAATAATGTATCTGAACTGTGGCAATGGAATGGCAACCAATCAGAAGTAGGTGACACTCTTAAACGCCAGCTCTCTCTTAAAGCTCCTGGAAGCAGGTGATCTAAAGCGGGGGAAAAAAAGAATCCACCTGTCTCCAACCTCCGTCCATCACTGCTACCCCCGATTACCTGTCTCAGGTTGCGTGTCACTTTGATGTCGTGCCAGCCGTTGTCATTGAATTTTCCGTTGACCGGCTCCACGATGGCCTCAAAGGCCCCGGAGCCCAGATTGATGACGAGGGACACGGCGCCATCTTTTAGCGCCAGGTTGACATAGTCTGCAGATTTCCCCGTGTGGAGGAGCAGGCCGTTGCGTTGCCAGGTCTTGAAGGACAACGTGATCTCGTCACTGCTGCTCTGGATGGGGTTCTGGGACAGGTCGTAGCAGAAGTACTCCGAGCCGCGGAAGGTGGCCACGTTCTCCTCCCTCGCTGAAACGACAAGGGTAGAAATGAAATGTTACTTTTAGGAGTTGAATACTTTTTAATGACGATCAGAAGTAAGCCCTTTTTTTCAGCACTAGCATTCACCAACTAAGCTTGCTGTACTTGCTATGTTTACGCAAAAAGAGTCAAATGCACCATACTAATACCCCCAAACAGTCAATTATGACAATCTTTATCACATTTACTTTAATGTTTAAAGGCCAAATGTGCAATATATATTGCAATCTTGTGGTGAGACCGCAAATTGCAATCAACTGAAATCCCTTCCCTTTCCAAGCTCATAGAGAATACTATGGTGGCCTTCAGGTTACGTAAAAAAAAAGCTTTAACGGTCCCCTACTCAGCTCATTTTCAGACAGGTTTTAATATAAATGGATCAGGAGAGAAAGAGAGCAAACCTTTTTTCCTGGAACTTTCAGAATCTCTTTACACAGAGTTGACACATGTTTCTAAAAGACATGAAAAAGTGGATTTTGCTAAATAGGTGACCTTTAAAAGCCTTTGAGAAATGATGCCAATACTATAACGATTGATATATTTTTTAAAGTTATTAATTCTGTCGTTGAAAGATACGTTGAAAAGATAGGGTGTGATTTTTTAAGAAGATATGTACCACACAATCCTCTTTCAGTTACTTTGTAGAACAGGTTTTTAGCATGGTACTTCTCTTAAACAACACAATACTTAATTCAAACTTATATTTCACATGATATGCCTTGCGATGTAGATATTGCACTAGTCTGTATTGCGATTGTGAACCTTTGGGGACTGTGGAAACATGGTGGTGCAACATGGCAAACTCCGTGAAAGAGGACCTATGAAGATATTATGGGTTCATTTTAAGCTTAAAAAAAACCCAAGAGTCTTCCTTTCAGGTGATTATACAGTAATAAAAAACATAGTAATGCATATTATATTCAATTTCTGCCAATAAATCCCACTAATTGCTACACTCTGGACCTTTTGAAACGTGAAACGAGCCAAACACTGGTGCCGGTCCCTACATCAATCATGAAGCAGCCTCAGTAAATATGAGAGCCACTGTATACCGCAGAGAAGCAAACACACTCTCACACACACACAATGCACAGCTCGCTATAATCACAGCTATGATAATCCCCTCATTCTGTTCAGATCATAAAGTCCTATCTGTATGACCGTGGATTTAGGTTTCACGTACAGCCCCTAGACAGACAGACTACTTATGATGGAACACTATTCCCCGCTAATGGTGCGCATAAATCAAACTTAGCCCGGTTTTTATAGTTTTATATCACACCGCTGTTGCAAAGTGACTTCCTGGGCCCATTTTGTTTGGTCTGACACGGTAGTAAGGTGAGACAGCTCCAGACAGAAAGCGAGGGGATGGATGGGCGACTGCGAGGGCAAAAATAAAATTGCGGGGGGAAAGAAAAGACTACACAAGAAAGAAAGTGAATCACAGGAGTAGTGTTTCCTTACGATCCGTGATGGAATAATTGACACCTCTCCTGATGCCTCTTAAAAGGTGGTTTGACACGCTCAAGGTCAAGAAGTTGATGTCAATTGTTATACATTAGGCTTGAAATGTCTTAACAACTCAAGAGGAGGGTTAGAAGGTTCCGACCTCGAAGAACATGGTGTTCAAGGCAGAAATTGAAGCCTTCTGAAAAATAAGCCCGGACCACACACTGCTGTGACACTTGGTAACAGTAACTATGCCATTACCTGGCATAATTCATTTGTATTTCCTCTTTATTTTATTTTGTCTGCTCACTGAAAAGTCAAGAGCAGAAAGAAATAAAAAAGGCAGAGAGATAAGAAAGCAAAAGAGAGAAAAGCATTGGGGCTGCAGGCTGTAAAGCTTCAGTTAGCTGTTTCGGATCCGGCTATATGTAAACATGAGGGAGCAGTGTTGTGGAGCTGGCAGAAAGATACAGAAGGAGGGGAGGAACATTCGAATATTGAGAGAGAAACAAAAGGGGAAGTGAAGAGGGGCTGCGGGATGATGGGGTGTTGATTCCGGTCATGGAGAAATTCTCCCCACGGCGTCAAACTCATGTCTCTGCGCAGCACGGAGACAAGAGGAAATAGTATGGGAGGCAACAAAAGGCCCTGTGAAAAGCCCTCATCCATGTGCCAGGGGAATAAATAGAAACCCATTATTACCACTGAGACAGCGCAACACAGAAAGGCAGCAGAATAGAAGAAAAAAAAACTCCATCTTCACCGATTTCATGCATCTAATCTAAGAATTTGCACAGGCTTTCACTGCATAAGAAGCCTGGATATTTTGTATCCCTATAATATTGCTCCTGCAAAGTTGTCCAAACAAAATGATAGTGCAGTGAATACCAAAAAATACAGTAAGCGGAAAGTAATTCATTTCTTCGTAGATATTTAAATATAAATATGCAATGTTCACCAATGTACATAATAAAATGCAAGCTGCCTACTCCAATTGGCTTTAATGCACATTTGGTGTATGGGGTGAAACCTCTGGGGCCCCTTACTCAGAGAGACTCTTGAGACAGTTACGACCCTAGACACTGGGGGTCCTTCTTTGAAATCTTGCCGGGAGGACCTTGCATATGCCTGATGGCGGGTAAATAAGGGTGAAATAGTACCTGTTTGAGAAGGACAGATGGTTTAGGAGATTTACTTATTTTACTTTTCTCTGCATCTTTGGAGTCATTTCACTTTTGAAAACTGATTCTGTAAGACTTTATCCTCTGTCTATTTTGCTAAGCTTTCTCTGTAGGTGTGCAGCATGGTGATCATTCAGATCTCCGACAGACACATGATCCTGTCTGCTCCCTCCTGACCTAAGATAGAAAGGTTATTGTCATGGCAACTCCCCTCATCTACCTGGCATACTCTAATTAGGTTGTTTATAAGAGGATATGCTACTCAGATTGCAACACAGGCTTAAGGCCTTCACAGGGATTCCAGGTCACACTATTATTAAAAGACAACAACAAAACGAAATGTGACCATTAGCGGCTAATTACCAATGATTGGTGTGGTAAATGCTGGAGCCAGACTCAAAGAGCAATGACCTATTGACCAGTGTAATTGGGGATTTGACGGTGCAAAGGTTTATGATAGCAGCACAGCTCTAGTGATGGCAATGCCAGTCGATCATTCAGTCGAACTATGGAAGGCGATTTCCATTTCGTACGGATATTCATGCTCCTATCCTTTCCATGGAAAAAGTATTTCGTAAACAATTTATGACAATCTTCGAGATCCTTTCCCTTTTAACCTTGCTCCAATGTCTGGTCAACATTTTCATTGATACATTCATACTATTTTGTAATCAAATTGTCCTAAGCTTTTCTTTGTTTCTAAGTTCGCTGTGGCAAATGCTAATGCTATGATGATGAACATGGTCGATCAGTATTCTCGACCTTATAATACTGTATTTACATTTTAGAAAGAAGGAGCTTCAATGTTTATTGGATGACTCGCAATGTATACGATATTTATGTTGACATTTCTGTTTCATGTTATATTAAACTTAATATATTTGTTTTTTGGACAAAAATTAAATAACTTTGATAGATCACCTTGGACTTGAGAAACTAGAACATTCTTTACCTTTTTTTTGTATTATATATCAATTAATTTAGAATGTATTAAATCCAATCCATAGTTGTTAGTTGCAGCCCTAATTAGCCTATATGTTATATGGCATAACATATTGATAATAAAGTAAAAGGCATGTTTGCTTTCCAATGCTGTTTGTGTATTAATTATAATGATGTAATTTAAAAGTGGCTGTGAAGCTGTAAAGACTATCAATAGACCATTGTTGCTATGAATAATAGAGAGAGAGGAAGCAAATTGATATAATGCAATAGTTGTGCACCTCAGCAATAATAAACCTGGTAAGTGTATACGGATCCATAAAAAAACAGGGGAAATGTATTGCCCATTGAGACATGTTCTGCACAGATCCGTGGCTTTCAAATCGATCATATAGCGGGCTCATTTTCCCTTATTTTCACCTTAGTCATCAATATTCCATTTGCATGCTGCCTTCGATTTCAAAAATCCACTGGAAGCAATTAGCTGCTTCATTACCATCTTCCATTCTCTTCCCCCCTAGACACACCCATGCAGCCCGAGCTCGCTCTCCAGTCTGACCCCATGGGCCGTGGAGCAGGGAGCGCCGTCACTTTACAGTGACCGCACCACGACCTTCAACCTCCTTTAAGATCGTGATATCATACTGTACTTAATCACTGTGGGAGGCGAGAGACTTAAAAGCATGTGGAGGGTAATAAGATGAGTTTAATGATAGGATTAGAGACAGGACGCCTTGTGATTATTGTAGCAAAACACTGACTTTAGCTGGGGATGCTACAGCAGTAATTCTGCCAAGCCCATAAGCTCACTGCACATAGAGGCTATGTGGGCAACCAACACTAGTGCTAGTCCCGGGGAGACTTTATCTCTGGTGAAGTGAACTCAATCTGTGCTGACATCCAGCACATCAAATGCATGTTTGCACTACATTTGCAGACAAACAAGCCCGCAGTTCCAGACCCAAACATAGAAAGCTTAGTTCTGCTTTTAGCTATTGTTGTCTGTCGTTCAAGGTTGCGGTGTCACCACCACACAATGCTTTGACAACATCTGAAAAGCTTCTTCTCACCCTCTCACGATATGTCATTTATATTCTCTCTTCCTACACCCCTAAAGGAAGAAATTAGCACATGTTGCTAATAACAGTTAAAGCAGTGTGGTTAGCCTGACACAGCCAAACATGAACAATGGGCTTCACTGCCTCCCAACACGACAACGCTAACATGCAACTTTGTGGCTTTAAGCTCGATGGTGAGCCAGCATGTCAAATAAATGCGGAGCATCATGGGTGATGTCTCTCTTCACTATCAGAATTGTTTTTATTAGAAGGAGATGTGTATATTTTTCTGTCCAATAACTACACGTGTACTGCGGCCCCAATTAGGGTTCGGGTTCCAATTCAAGATACAAGAGTA